GCCGATTTTGACTGTGTTCAGAGATTGGTGTGTTTGCATAAAAATGAGGAACCAGTTGATATTTCAGTCTTACTACACAGTTAATATGTTCAAACATTCAATTCAGATTGTTGGCAAGAGGGATAAGAAGAAATAAAGCCAGTCGTGAATGAAATACCCAAAACGCTAAGAAAACAGAGGAAGCTATATGCACTCATTAAGACATCCTTTGGTCAGTTTTATCATGAAGCTGCATTTGACTTTGTATCAGTCAACTTCTACTGTGGGGGCTTTTTTAGAAGTACATGAAAAGAGACTGGTAAAATTCATACTAATATGTTGTTCACTCACCTTAGCCTGAACTTCAAAAAGCAGTCTAACCAAAAAACACACCATGGACTCAGTTCTCATCTGGGGCAAAGCACCAAGCAAACACAGACTAGAACTTTTCAGTTTCCTATCTTTTCACCACTTGTGCAGGACATTCTCACTCCAGTTACTTGGAAAGGAGCACCCAGTTTCTCAGAGACCTCCCAGTTCACATGATGATTCAGTGTCTGGATTCAAGTCCCAGTTAAGAAGTTTGATACTTGATGTAACAATATCACCCAATGACTCACACCCAAATTCCCTGAGAACTGCAATCCAAATCTCCCTGCTGAGCTGGGTAGCTGGTACATCATGAACATGGCAGACAGCCATCAATCCCTTTTGTCAGAAATAGGCAAAAAAGCATTCATAAAGCAATATGGCATTCAGCACTCATCTCTTCCCTAAATCTCTCAAGAGTGCAAAAATTCACTGGAATGATTCAAAAGTAGAAGTTGAGAAGGGTCACACGAAAAAAGCCCACCCAGTATCACACCTCCGATTCCTTTAGAGAATCACAATGCATAAGGGGATTTCTGCTGTCTTCCAAGCCTAACAGCAGAGATTGGATTTATGCAAATTATAAGGTCAAAATAATTAGAGATAGGCCATAGGTATAAATCAAACAACCAAAGCTGACTTGTCTAAAATTCTGCATGCTAAACAATCAAGGTGCTTAGAGTCAGAACATTCATTGGTGGTTGTCCCTATGGAGTGAAATTTAAGGAAGGATTTGCTAAATTACATGGCAGCTGAAAGCTGTGTATTTTACAGCTCTCACATGAGAAGATGAAGTCCTGCTCTTATCTGTATTTCTGCAGCACAATTAAAGTCTTTTTTTCAGACACCTCATTAAACAGAAATGCTATTTTGTGGATGGCTGTAGTGAAAATTCATTTGCAGTGGAACATAGCTGATGTTAAGGAGTGAAAGTTCAGACCCAATTTTCAGTGGTTGTGCATCTGTAAGCCAGTAACTTGCTTACATTTGGGTGTCCAGATTTTTTAAATTGATTGATCAATGTCTTAGAAATAACTAGAGATAGAGCATAAGAAGAGGCAAATTTCAACTATTACTACCTAAATTATATGCATAATGGTCAATATGCATTAATTAATATCCCTTTTCATTAGTTTAAGAGTAGACATTCATGTAAAATTAGGTTTTATGCAGCAGAAAACAAATCCACGCATGTTTTATGACAAAATTAATCACCAAATTTAACCGTACATTGACTTTTGCTAGCTAATACAAATACACAAATGGATAAATGCATCTTTCAGCAGTCTGAAGTTTTTCTCCCCGCACTTATCAGGTGAAGAGAGGAGGGAAAATAGAGCCCAAGTTTACTTTATGATTTTTTTTCCTCTCACATTATGTTTCTAATATCAGTGACAGATAATGGCCTACATCTCCTAGCTGAGAAAGAGTGCCTTTCTCAAAACAGCGAGAGAAGTGGCACTCATGAGGTTTGCTCTCTTACTACTCACAGTATGACAGAATAATTTTACTCATACCTGATCCATTTTGTTTCTTCAATTCCATTTCCTCCCCCCATTCATCTCTGTTCTCTCCTTCTACTTAAAAAGGAATTTACTTGGCTTCACAGTTCATTAAAATATTTCCTTCTTCAAAGCCCCTTTACAATAACACATTACACATGTTAATTGATACTTATAAGAAATGATTTTAAGGCACTTGTTGTCTTAGAGTTCTCAAGAGACCTCCAGTTTCCACTCTCATTTACATACAATGCACACAGTGCAAGTTAGGGAAATCACAGGATTCTCTGAATACCCTGCATGGGTGAGGGAGTGGTCGTGCTGGAGGTGATTTGTGCTCTTCATGTAGTCAAAAATATTCTTTACCTCGATTTTCCTGTCATATAAGAATTTGCTTAGAATTGGACAAACAGTTCATAATGAATTATTTACTTGATTTACACAATCTGAATTATTTGTGAACAATGTACGAGTTTTTATTAATTAGTTTAAATCATTTGATACATAATCTCATGGATGTGTCCATGTGCATAAGTATCAGCTTTCTGTTTGCAATAAACAACCCTCAGCAAATCTGAGGATTACTGGAGCATTATTTTATGATTAGAGCCCTTATATTAAAGCAGAAAAGTTCCACTTAAAAAGAAAGTATTTAAAAAATATACAAATTAACACCATTGAGAAATTCTTAATTGATATTTGGTATAAAAAATGGATATTGAATTTAGATATATAGATGCTGTATAACTTAATCAAAGTCTGAAATATATATACATATATTATTGAAGTAGTAGAGGCGCTGTGTTTGGGAGATCCATTTTTCATTTTTCCAGCTAAAGGAAGGAGTTGAGAAGAAATTTCATGAGACTTGAGAGATGCCATCCTAAAATATTAAAGGTACTTAATTTATGACAGCAACATCCTTAGCAGCACTATAACAAAAGCTCTGTCCTTCCATTCTTTACCCAAACTTCAGAAATTTTTTTTTTTTACGTATAGCACTCATAAAATCATAATGCACCTTAAAATTTAGCTTGAAAACAAAATCAAAGAGAGGGAAAAGTTGCTTAAGTAAGTTTTTTTGGACTGTTTACATACCAAAAGACAGAAAATATTCACAGATGTAGAGAGCTTGCATCTCCCTCCTGGAAAGAGAGGCCACTTTTGTCTTCTAGCTTCCTTCAATCAACAGTTGCTCACTGATGTCCACCACCTCCTAAGCTTTACAACTTGCACTCAGAAGGCATGAACCAGATCCCTCTGAAACATGTATGCTTTAAAAATAATATTAACAAGCAGAGATACAAGTCCTGAAGACAGAACCAAATCCTCAGCAACACTTGATCTGAACAAAGTTCACCCTGCTTGGAGAAGCAGATTGGACCAGAGGACCCTCACAGGTCCCTTCCGAAGTACCTTTTCCTAAGAAGCTACAAGTCCATTCTGTGGGAAGAACTCATGTTTGCAAAGGGCCAAAATTTGGATTCCAAACTTGGGCTGTTATTTTTTTATTTTGAATGTTGTTTCTTTAACTGGAGACAGTATCTATGTAATGAGGGAGCTTAACTGCCATATGTCTTCTCCAGAAGTGCAATTTCAGTGGCATCATTTCTGATGCTCACATAGTGTTGTCTGGTTTTGTTTTTTTTTTGAACTTACCTAGGCTTTTGACTACCAGTTTACACAAGAACTAAAAGCTTTGAGTAGTTTGACTGAAAGAATTAATAACTGTTATTTCCAGAATGGAGACATTTTGAGTAAAAACTTGTAAAACGCATTGCTTTTCTGAGGCACCTAAAATCCTAGATTCTAAATGTCTTTGCTGACATTTATTTTTCTCTTCAAATACTTCTGTAGGAAGGGTCAGAACTGAGGTTAGGAGAGGCTCAAAACATTCCACTGAAAGACTCCATGACATTTCCAACCTCCTATTCTTCTGCTCTAGCCACTAGAATCATCCCCACGCTCAGTTCAGCACTTGCACAGCTATGATAAACCTTTGGAACTATTCTAGTCCATCAAGTTAATGACATGCACTTTAGACAATCCTTTTAACTAAGCCACCGCTACTATCAAGGAGCAGTTAGCCTGCAGATTCAAGAATTCAGCAGCTTTATGAAGTCCCTGATGTATATTTACACAATAAATGGTAATAGACTCATCATACACCCATCCTGTGCATGGGGAGACCAGCACTCCTAAGGCTCCATGCAATGCTACCATAATGGCAGATGAGACATCTCTGCCATTAAGCCAACCTTGATGCTAGGTCTGGGCCAATAAATCAAATCACTCCTAATGTTGTTCTACATTAGCATTGCATCTGAGCCAGCTCTGCTTCCCAGGCAGATTAGATTAGATCACTCCTAATGTCACTCTGTATTACCTCTGGTAGCCCACAGCTTTGCTGGAGAACTGTCAAGGTATAGATAAAATCCAAGTAAACATACTAATAGATAAGATAAGGTGAAACAGTGGCACAGGAATCCCTGCAGTGCTTTTGTACCAAGAGGAAGTTCTCTGGTAAAGGAATTATGCCTTCCATGATTATTTAATCTTTGGCAGTTTCTTGCTGAGATGAGAAACTGAGTTCCTCTAACTGCACATATAGCACACATACAGCTGCAAGTAAAGGCTGGATCCTTCACCAGGCAGTCTGTTTCCTGGAGAACTGTCCTGTGCCTGTAGAATTCTTCTAGAGATGATTACCAAGTCTAGAGATAATATGGCAGACAGGAGCACATCTTCACTTTAGTTTCAATAAGGTTTTCTATTGAAGAGCTCACAGTATTTTCTTGCCATATGGCAATTCATTTGAAAATACCCACACAGTTCTGGAATTACCAACTTACAGGATTTCAGCTCATAAATCCCTATTTTCTTCCTTCCTTGACCTATTACAGAGCATTTGCCTTCTTCATAATGTCCTCAAACACTTTACACAATGTGAATTTCAGACACTTAAGCTTCAGTTGCACAGGAGCTCACATTTTTATACATCCATTGCTTCATTCTTGTTTGAAAGCCGTCTCAACAGTAAGTGCTCTGACACTCTTTAAGACTTCTGAGGTACTAAAATCAGGACAGTACCTTTATGAAATGGTAGTGTGAACACTCCAGAGACAATATGCTCATGTCAGCACACCTCTGTGGTTGTCAGTATCAGTACTAAGTTATACAAGACCTTCCGGACATTAAGACACGTCCATGAAGCATATTACAGTTAAAGATAGTATTAATGGGCAAAAAAACCCATTCTTCATCTGCATAAATCATAAACTGAAGCAAAATACATATACTGCACCTGAAATCATCAAGGTAAAGACTGAAGCCAAATCCACATCCTGCAATTCCAGATTTCTTTTCCAATCTTCCCAGGTCAAAAAAGGTAACTACGGAAATAAAAAACAAAAAAATAAGGATTCTCCTCTTGATATTGGGCAGCAGAACAGTGAATACCAAGTCAAAACAGCCATATAAGGCAAAAGAAGCCATGAAAACATGTAAAAAGGCTCTGTTTACTTCTCAGAATCATAGCCAATCTAATAAAAGCATCCCTGCACACCAGCTTACAATTCCATCTGACTAGCTACACCCAACCTAATGATTCAAAGACTAATTAGTTCATTTACTTTACAGCTCATTTGCTGCAGTAACAATGAAACATTATCTAGATACAGTTCTTCCTGCGGGAGCCAGGAAGAATACACTGCTAACAGAACTTCAAAAGAGAGGAAAAATGAAATTTCATTATACCTTCTCATAAGCAGCAGATCAGCTTACATTCATTCCTATAGAAGAAGGCTCGGTATTCTAGGCCTGATCCTGCAAAATATCAAGTACTTTCTACAGACTAAGTGCAAGTGGTCTCAGCAGTTGCAGCACTTAAAGTATTCCCATTTTTACTGTTAAACACAAACTGAATGATTTCATAACAGAGCACTGTATCACTGTGAATGAAGCAGTTTGAATGGTATCCATTAACACGTCTATTCAGGGAAGAAAGGAAAAAGCTAATTGCATCGCAATTTATGCTGCTTCTTTCCTGTTGCTTCATTGGCATGACTCCCTATCATTTCTAGTTACCTGGAAAAGAGGGAAAACTTGAAATTTTAAGTTGTCTGAAATCACTGTCAGCTCCTGTCGCAGCTCAGTTCTGTAAATGCTACACTAACGCAAGCAGACTCGATCTAAAATTCAGAAGATGCTGGATTATGCACATGTTTGTATTGCTTTTTAAACTAGGTAATCAGCTTTAATAGTCCTTTCTCTGTGACCACTTTACCGTATCACTACATGATTTACCATACTAAAGCAGAGGTTTGGCACTTAAAAACAGGTTCTGCTTCTGTATCTATCATTCCCTGATGACCACTTTCATTTCTCTTTGGATGAGGTACACTCATTACATTTCCCAAATCTTCACTTCTCTGCTTCTAAATTGCCATTGTGGAACAGGCATGGAGTGCTGCTTGTATTTTTCCCCACATCTGGTTAGCCAAATGGCCCAACTAACACTCATGTTGGTGCAGCTGAAGAGGTGCTTTGAAGGGGAAATGAGAAGCTGGAGGGCAGAAGCCAGCAGCTCCTTAAATCAGAGGCACTGCTATGGAAGAAAGTACATGAAATCTTAGTGCTAACCTTTAGAAAACAGGCAGACTGCAAACAAGAATAATTGTTATGGGCCAAACCCTGCTGGTTTTACTCATGCTGGAAGTCCTATTGCCATTAAATGTAACTGTATGTGTGAATTAAGAAAGCACTGTTTGGATTTTTATTTATGTAGACTCCCATGCAATAACACTGAATGGAAATACACTTGTTTACTTTTAAAGGCGCTTCAAATTTTACTGTTACAAGAGTGTCACTGCTTCTGCACTGCTTCTCTGCAAAATAAAGAGACTTTCATAAATACTGTGCTTCATTTCAACTCCTCATTATTAAATCTTTGCATTTCAGCTACCATGCAAATTGGTAGGTTAGTGCTCATTACATGCGATGCTCCTATATCTTTCTGAGCTTCATTTAAAGCAGGTATGTTGCTGTCTCACAAATATGTTGGTTTCTGATCTTCTAAACAGACTTTTAGTGTAGATACTGCTCCGCTGTTTTCCCTTTCACCCTAAATAAAGTTTTCCCTGATCGCTCTTGCTACTGCAGAGAAATACATTATCCATTTTGCCCTGAAAGAAATGTGAAAAAGGAAAATGCTGATGGCACAAGAAGCAATTTGAATCCCATGATAGAAAACATAGCCCTAGCAAACAAGGCACTGTAATAAGTAATAGTATAGGAACATTGTTTTTGGGGGGTTATCAGAAGAGAAATGCAAGGTACACATTTTTAAACAAATAAACGTTTCCTTTTGCCCTTTTTTCAGCAGCAGAAGGAAGGTGGTAGATGCAAGTGAATAGTATTGAAAAATACATACCCTGCCTATCACTCAGCAACTACAGAATTGGTTTTGGTTTTAATAATGAGAATTGGTTCCACTTCTGTACAAGCAACTTATGAAGGACAGACAACAGATAGAGGTCAGGCGCTATTACAGCAAGTCATGTCCCTCAGGCTGTTCTGGCACCCTTTGCTGTTATTTTCATTGTCATTATCCTGTGTGTAGAACAGCAAAGGAAGCAGTATATCTTTAAAAACATAAAAATGTGTTATGCTGTTTGTTTTAGGCTTTGCTACAAGTAAATCAGATTTAGTAGGTGTGATTCACCAGGTACATATCCTTTCTTAAGCGTAATAGCTCTATACAAGACTGCAGAGTTACTGAGATGGCAAAGCATGCATTAAGTGTTATCCAAGCACATAGTTTGTGTCCTGAGCGACTACCAGAGCTCATTAAACTGCTCCTGATGTACCAGGTTGAATTTAAAAGTTTGTGAAGTGCTGCCTTAGTGACTGGCAAACTACTTCTGACACAAAGCTGGAAGTTGCTGCTATTTAGCAGTTCTTTGGTGACCTTTCAGAAGAGAAAGGATGGACTTGGTCCAAGTTACAGCACAGACATCCCTATTGCCACCATAAGCACTTCTATTCTGCAGAAGAATGAATATATTCTGGAGGGCAGGGGTTCCTAGGCAGACTCCATGCTTCAGATGCACTACCCACAGCTCATCTGTATTTCCTCCATCCCTTTCTTGGCATTACACACTCCAACCATATGCACCATAACAAATGATGATGAGATGCACAGATGATGATACACAGATTACTGGGCAGCACTATTTTTCTCCTTTAACTTCTTATGAGAATCATCACAGAATCAGCTATTATCTTAGGAGTATTGCCACCAAAAACAACACAATAAAAAGCAAACACAAACACAGACTCATCTGAAAGAGATTCACAATTGGGCTTACTCATGCCTTTTGAAAGGGCCTGCATTACTGAAGCAACTTCATTAAGAGCTGATTTTTAAGTCATACATTTCTGTACTGCAGACAGGGCTCTGAGGAAAAGGAATATAAGAAATTCACACTTCTGTTGCAGAGAAAAGATGCTTTCTTTGGCTGCAAGATGACCTTTAGGGGCCAGCACACAGTCACTGCTCCTCTACCCACATAACCCCACAGACAAAAGCAAACGCCCATAACTGCACCTTGCCAGCTGCTCCATACCTGAAACGTTTGTTTCCTATTTGGGCTGAAGTCATAGGAAAGTTCCCTGTTTTTTTTTCGAACAGCACAAGTTTCTGCAGAAATGCTCCCAGAGTTAACCAGTGTGCTCTCTGCTATTTGTTTGCTACCTGCCCCATGCAGGGGCTGTAAAGCAGCCTGCTCTGTATAATAGAAGCTATTAATAATATTTTCAATGCATATTTAACCGTACAAAACCAGATTACGCTGACAGCTCATGTTTAATCACCACTGTTGCAACAAATTGCACCTTACTTTACAATGTGTATACACATCAGCTCCTTTGCCTCTAACGATCATCAATCAGTTGCCAAATCTGAAGGAAATAGGCAATTTTAAATAAATATAGATAGATACATAACAGACAAAAATCAATTCTTTTACAGCTGAGTTTATTTCTTCGAGTATGAGTGCCAGGGATTGGTAGGAGTGACTAACAGGAGAAGAACTCAGTTCTACTACCTAAATACACAAATAGAGAGTATCCAGTGTGTATAGATTGGAAAAACATACAAAGGCAGTGGAGAGAAGTGTGAACACCCTGCATGAAAATCACTGGCTAGCAGTAATAAAATGAAAAATGACTTGCCTTAAACAGAATTCACTTACATCTCATTCAATATCTTGATACCGTACAAACACCTATAAAACTACATGGTTATTATAAGTGCTCCTAATGTTTTACTAGGACAAGGTAACTAGCTTTTTAAGTCAAGATTAGTTTTGGATCAAACTCAGAAATGCTTTGATACAGTTAAAATTAGTTATGGGAATACAGTCTTAATGAAGATGCTCTAAAACTACAAAAACTTCTGCAAAACTCTTGGTTTTCTGCCAAAAGAAAATAGCATATTGAGTAAGCTCCTGAAAGAGTCTAAACTGAGCTCAGTGCAATTTTTATGAATTACCTGAACAATGAAATAAAACACACAGTAATTAAATTTGCAGATAGTATCAAGCTAAGAAGATGCACAAGGGCTGGAGAGGACAGCATTAAAGTTCAAAATTTATGTAGACAATTTGAGGAGACTAATAAGGTACAGTTCAGTGAAGACAGGTGCAACATACTGCATTTATGTAGAAATTGTCTGCTGCACAAATACAAGACAGGTAACAACCAATTACAGAACAATTAGGAGGAAGATGTGGCAGCTGAAGGATTACAAACAAACAGTACTTTTTTCCAGTAATGTTGCCCTGGTGCTGGAGGGTGTGATGAAGATGTTACATACTGGACACACAAAGCAGCTCTGCAGCCTGAGACTGGAGTGCTGTATGGAATTCAATACATCAAATATCAAGAAAGATATGAGGCACTGAATAGCTAAGAACAGAGTGATCAAAGGTTTGGAAAACACTCTGTGAGGAGACACTGGGAGAATTGTGTTTGTTTAACTTAGCCAAATGCTAAGGATTCACAGCAACAGCCTTCATGTAACACAAGTTTCCCCAGAAGTTGCTGCTCCTACCCACTCTGACAAGATGGTTAACTTGCAGCCAGGAGCATCTAAGGACAAGTAAGGCAAGTGTTTGCCAGGAATACCTTGGAATTATTAATCCCATCTTCTGTGGGCTGAGGGATCTCTTAAAGCCCCCCCCCAATCCAGCTGAAGCAATGACAGGAGTGGGAGACAGGCTCTAGATATCCTGATCATTGTATCATCTGCCTGCCCATTTAAAAAGTACACTAAATGTCAATGATACAATACTGGAGCCAACTTAGACCTGAGCTTGTCCAGATAAAGTATTAGCTAAACAGATGGCACTGATAATGAGGCTAGATAATGAGAGTGCTTAGCACAATGAAAGGTAATTAACTTGCCAAAGCACTCATGACAGGCTACATGATGCAACACACAGGGACCTACAGCTAGAAAGGAGCTGGAGTTTGCATTCTTGGTTTGCAGGATGCTAGAAAGCTGGGCAGTGCTGTTTGTTCATCTGTACAGAGTGCAGCATCAAGCAGAATGCTCAGGGCTCTCTCAGTCATGGTCAGCAACTGGAGAAGATGCAAGCCTTCTGAAAAACGGTCCTGAAAAATGGAAACTGAAACAGCTCCTGGAGTGGCTTGCAACAGCTTGTGGGTGAACACCTGCCCTTGGAGTGCCCAGAGCCTGCAGAAAGCCCAGGGCCAGTAAGAGCAGCAGCTGCTGGGGAAAGGCCAGATCTGAAAATCACAGCAAGGAATCCTTCCCACAACAAAGTGTTCAGAATGAAAAAAATTGGGTTAGTTCAGCCATCCTCAGAGTGTTTGCTTTTATCATTTTTTCTGAGCCTGCAGCTTTTTAGATGCATGTAAGTAAACCAAAACATCACTTCTACTATGTTTTATTGCAGATAAAAGGGGAAGACTCACCTCACAATCACCTATCTATTATGTTGCCCTGTATTAATTTCATTAGCATCATCTTAAATATCCTCTTGTTTACTTCTCTGGGAATTGTTTTTGTATTTCTTCATCAATTTAGTTGCTCTCTTTAGGACTTCTTCCATTATTTGATATGCCTTTTGAGATGGAATGACTGAGATTGAACACTTTAATACAGGCAACAGTGTACCATAAATTTCTGTAATGATACTCATTTTGTCTTAACACAATCTAACATCTCTATTTCTTTCTGGACTGCACAGCGCTTCAGCCTTCTCTATGCTGTTCCCTGCAATGATCAAGTATTTTTCTCAGAGTTGTTACAGCTAATTTAGAATCTATCAGGTAGTATGATTAGTTCCAATTGTCCCTTCAGAATCAGTTACTGTCAGCTGTCTACCCTGAAGCTCACCTGTCATTTATTACAGAATGCTCTATCACTGCTTGATCCTTCTGCATTCTTTGCACCTCCTCACGGCTAACAAGCCCTATGTAACTTCACCTTACCAACAAAAAGAAACCCTATTTACTCCCTTTCCAGATAATTTCCAGCAATGTGAATCCCTACGTTACTAAACAATTAATCTTTTCCTCAAGTCCTTATTTCTTACCTTCTTAATCTTCCTAATTCACAAGAGAGCTTTCTTCTATTTCCATGATCTTTTGTTGTATAGTGGCTTTATCCTCAAACTGCATTTACTACTGGATTTACAAGATTTCCTCTGTTCAAGTAAAGGAAAAAAAAAAAATCAAATGGGATGCAAAAATAGTGTTTTCCTTTACAGGAACTATTTGATCCATTCTTTGATAACAATTTTGTCTAATGTCTCATAAAATTCCATACCAGCATGATCACTACATTCCTTTTAGTTAGTATACACAAAGCTGAGATTCATTCGTTCAGACCATTTGTACTCCCTACATCTTCCCCTCCTCCCTTTCTCTATTTGCTTTATCTTTATGTTTGTCTTTCACTTAGATTTTCAACTATTTGAGGCTGGCTTTTACTCTTCTTTATATTTGGACAGTGTATAGCACAGTAGGACTGGAGCCAACACATACAAGAAATACCTTAAAGAAAACAATGGTAACTTATTGCATGGAAAATGTTTCAAATACAGTGATTTACTTCTTATCAAGCACAAACAGACATTTCTATCTCTCCTGCTCAGGTACTTCTCTGCTCAGCCCTGCTACTAATAAAAAGAATTCTCTTCTTTCCTAGTGATTTTCTATCACTAACACCACACTGATCCAAAAGAATATTATTCTTAGATTAACTCCACTGGATATATAAGAAATGAGTCTGGAGACCTCTGCCTATGCAGTTACCATCCTTAGACTAAGATGGTATCAATTCAGATGATGATTTTCCTTATCTCCACTTTGGAGCAAGTTTTCTCCATTTCCCAATATATAATTCAGCACAGAAAGTCAGAGAATTCCATCATCCGGGTACATGACTCCACTGTTAACAAAATGATTGTTTGCAGAAGTAAATGATTACAGAATAAAATGGTATTTACAGATATTAGCTAGCAAGCAATCCCCAGCTGATCACTTACTGACATGTAACACTCACAGGTATCACACCTGGCCACAAAGCTACCTCAGACCAGTCTGTTCCACATGAGGAATGACTAGGATGAGTAGTTCACAGTCACTATTTAGAGGTATAATTTTAGGGAGTAAATTCCACTTTCACAGCTTGATTCGTGCAAGACAGCAGAACGAAGGCAGAGAGCAGTAAGCTAAGAGGGCCATCTCATAGGAGCAAGAGATGGAGGTGAGCTTGCTGACAGAGGGGAGATTCAAGGAAAGTTTCCAAAGAAGCTGTATCTTTCCTAGGTTCAGGAAGTGGCAAGACTAAAGGAAAAGACTAAAGCAGGTTACATGCATCATCACTCATTGCCAAGATGCTACCATCAAGTGAGCACTACGCCTTAAAGAAACCGCATTTGTTGTTTTCAGAGACAGTTTGAGATTAAGACAGACAACTTGCCTACAGTCCAGAAAAGACAGTGAGAACTTTATGATACCTCCTCAAGAGAAATTGCAGATAGAGGAACAAAAGATTGGAGATTGTATGCAGCAGCCTAGTAACTACCATGAGAAAGTGGTGCCATTTTTCCAGTGTCTGCCTTTTCAAATAACTGCAGTCTCCTTGCCAATTCAAATTTGCACATCAACTACACTGCTTACCTCTTCATCAAGCTCAGGAACACGTCAGCAGAATGCAGCCTAAATATCACCTCTACCTTTGCAGAGGGTCTGAGTTCATGCTTACATGAACCCTGCAAATCCAACCCAGGAAGAACTACACATCTGCAGACCAAGCCGGCAGCCATTCAAGCTCTCCTCTTCCTAAACACTTCCTGGAAGAACTAAAAATGTCCAGAAATATTATATCAGCATTATGGCTATACTGGAATGGCAAATGTGAGTCATAAAAATCAATTAGCATGAAGTTCTTCGCTTCCTAGCATAGATATACTTCTAGATACTTGCCTGTGGTGCCGTGAACAAAATACCCTTGTTCAGAAGTAGAAATGAGCTTCCTCCAAGGGTGACTGAAGGCTTGTAGTGTAGAAGCAGACAAGGAACTCCACTCAGCACTGACAGTTGTGAAATCTATTGTTCAGTTTTTGGACTGAATCAGTGTTCAGATGAATCACTCTACATTTCATCTTCTGGTTTCTGCAGACCTTTTAAAGATCTATGCATCAGGCTACTGTCATTAAAAAAATTGAAAAAAAAGATGAAATCATGTCTAATGAAATGAGACAATCTCAGCATACTGAGTTGTTCCAGTAAGTGTGACATTGAGCATAATTTTAAGCTCTACACAACTCCTACCAGCAGACTTGTTTCAAAATGAGAGAATGAGCAGTTTCACATAAAGGGAAACTTCAGGACCACAGCTGATCATTTCTGACAAAAATCCCTAAAAGCTTTGAAAACAATGGTTTCTTGCAAAAACAAGCCAGTATTCAATGAAAAAAACTTATCCAAGCAAGCAAAAAGCAAAGAAAAATATACACCATCGCAGCAATGATGTACAGCTGATTGATACACTCTTTATGATCACACAATGAAGAGTAGTATCTGTTTCTGGAAAGGACCTTCTGAAAAATTTAGTCACTGCTTACGAGAACACAAGTTTTCACACAAGTACTTCATGTATTTTTCAGAACATCTTATACTTCAATGTGATGAAACACCATATTATACTTCCATAATACTGGGCAATTGGTAATAACAGCTTTAAAGGGTAAGCATTTACAAAGTCTCCAGTAGGTAAAAAAGCTTACAATTCATAATACATGTAAAACCAAAACCCTCTAAAAATAGTCTCAATAAAGTCTTCATTTTAGATGAAGGATAAATATATGCAGTTCTGTTCTCACATGTATTGTTTGTTTCACAAAAGAATAAGTTAAAAGAGATCTGGAAGTGTTGATGAGTTGCCAGAGTCAAAACTGATGTGGCATTTCCTTTCTAAGGCTGTGTTTTCAGAAATAGCAGCTTTGAACTTCACCTTCTCATGGTTATTCCCAACATAGAGATAAATGATTCCTGAGGGAAAATTTCAAGTAAAGCCATGAGCATATTTTTTAGTTAGCAAGCGTAGAAAGTGTATCAGGCACTTAACAATGAACTTCTGTGAATTCATCAGACCAGCAATAGAAGTTTCTGCAGCAGCCCTTCCTCCCTCACTTGTGCTTACACCCCAGGCAGAAAGGCAGCCACAGATGCAGTTTACAATCTCTCCTCAGAATGACACCAGATTTTAAGTCCAACGATATAACCTTGAAATTATGTACACATGGTCATTCTCAATAAATTTGAGCTAAAGCTTAGATTGCTGTCTGCACCTGATACACAGCATGCACAAACTTACCCATGTTGGACAGAGGAATATCAAAGAGTATCTTGCAATAAAGCTCCGAGATACGCATGGCTGACCCTATTCTTCATACTTATTGAAGTTGCAATATTTACCTTTCACCAGTAGGTTTCCAAATATTCCATAAAGAAAGTCAGCAATGTTATCGGCATTTTGCAGTTGTGAAATTTGAAGTAAAGGGAGGTAAAGCTTTATCAAGAGGCACCCAAAACACAATAGACTGAAGAGAAGGATCATTAAGACTGGCACACTGCCAGTGCAAGGACAAGGACAGAACACTACAAATGCAGCTCATAGAAAAGAAATGAAAAAATAGAAGCATAAGAGAAATGGAGAAAGAGGGATCAGTAAAAGCTTAACAGGTAGAACAAGTGAAGTGCATTAGATCTGAACAGATGCAGAGGGTACAATCAGGACCATGTAGCAACAGGGGTGTGAAAAAGAAAATATAAAAAGGAACTCTTTGATATGGACCATGAGGGGTCCTAAAAAGGCCACAGAAGAAACAGCTGCAGCAGTCCAGATAAAACCAAAGATGTGTCAGCACAGGAGGGTTGAAGCTGCACTCTGATGGCTTCTGACCTGTGTGACTTAAGGTTGTTGTTTCATCAAAAGTTCAAGCCTGACACTGATGCTGCTATACACATTCAGGCTTTGCTAAGTGTGAAACAAAGCAGTCAATTTGCTTTTCATGTCTCTCTTCTGCTCTAGCTAGATTTTCTCTGGGGCGCTTTGCTCTCTTGCTCTGATTTATTTTCTCTCCCATCACAATTTTCCCACATGCTACTCTTTAGTACCAAGTTCAATGTTCCTTCTCAGAATTTGTGAGAGTCCCTCCCTCCCTGGATAGTATAAGGTTTCTTTCATTTAAACTGTTTTAAGCCCTGGTTTAGTAATAAGGGATTTTTCTTCTCTTCTGCATCCCTATGACCAATACTTCTGCCCTTTACCTCAATCAACACAATAATGGCATTTGTGCTGCTGTGTGCAAATGACCTAGTCTTTATGTCAGAATGTTTTGAGAAGAACAAGAGAAAGACAAGAAATTCATCCACCTTTAACACAAGAATATTGAGAAATTCTCTTGCTCTCTATCACTCATCATGCCTGTGCATTTTATATACTGATCTGTCAGTTTAGAAATGAACACAGTATGAGAGCAATGCCCTTGCACAGGGAGCAGTATATCTGGGCATTTCTTCACCACTGAAAAGCAATATGTAGTAAGATCCTGTAATTGCAACTGCAGTGCTGGAATGCAATAGTTTACCTATATACACAGGCAGGCATGCGAGTTTATCTTTAATCAGTACAAAAACACATGAATTTTATACCTAAGCACTGTTAATGTGCATGGCACACTGAACATGTTGACTGCTAGGGATGCTTTGCTGCCTGCCAGCTCTGGGTGACCATGCCACATGAGGACTCACCTGATGAAGTGTTTTTTTTTTCTAAGCCAGAAGTAGTAAGATGCTATATTTGTTTTCAGTATTTAATATTTCAAATGCATCTCATTTAAAGAAGCTCAGCCTCTCTAGAATTTGGGCATGCAATAACAGAAGTTAAGTACTAATGGCCTGGACATAGCACATCCTTGAGAAGACACAGTTTCTTCTGATGTTTGCTAAGCATTAGTGGTATTTCTCTGCTGTTAGTCTCCTGCAACCTTCTCAGTATCTCTTAAACCTTTTCCATCCTTCACATGCATGAGCATTGGACAATTCAAAAACCCCTTTAATGCACAGAGTATTTTTTCTAGTGATCATCCATGCATCCTGCATTGTTTTTTTATTTATTTTGGTCACAGATTAAAGCCATCATAAGTTGACACGGATTGCCCTTTATTTAAAAAACAGCCTTTCTTCTGAAAAATTACAGAAAGAAAATCTTTACACCCTTTTGCAACTGATTCATGGATGGGAAGACTGAGATCTTTTTGAAATGCAGTCACCAGACCCAGGGATAATTGAGGAAAAAAACACAAAAATATCTTTGCACGTAATTCCTTCAGTAAGTGCTCATAAGAACTGCGGCTCTCCAGCAAGATCCTATTCCAAAAGGCTAGATTTGGCTTTGTAAGTAACTTTCATGTCTTATAAAAGCCAGGCAGGATTCTGTCCCTAGCTGCACAGAGTCCTTACATGACTTTGGGCAAGTTACTTACAACCACAATTTTCAGCCAGTCAAGTATTCACTTTACTTTTTCTATTTAACTTGAGACATCTTTTACCTGTTTTTCACATTACTGCTGAATTCCTGCTAAGCTATCATAAGAGCTTCAGGCCTTGGGTAGCCACCTCACTAATGCAATCTCTGAACATCTTCCTGCATCATCATTGGCACGGCCTTCCTTACATCTGTCTCCAAGCAGTGAGATGAGGAGTCAATATTTAACACCGGAACAGCACAAAGGTCTTCGGCTGGAGCTTTCTTATTAAAGGGAAAATACACCTGTAGCAGGAAAATTACTCCTGCTACAATAAATAAAACACAGGGAAAAAGTATCTTACAATATTACCCAGGAGCCAAATGCAGGTGAAGTCTAGGATAGTGTAGCTTAGACATAGCTCACATCTGTGACTGTTTCATGTTACCGCAGGCGTTTTGAGGAGCTGCCTCTGAACATTCAGCTTCTCTTTCTGGAAATAATCTACATGCAGGAGGTCTACACTTCGACCAGAGGAAGTAATCTCTTCTCACACAGCTCATGGCATCGAGCTCTTTTCTACATCAGAAAGCAAACAGCAGTCCTTGTGAAAACTAAAAGTAAAGTCAAATGCCAAATCAGAGGACTTGATATCAAAAATGCTGACTGGTCAGAAAGGAACATGAAATAGTAAGTTCCTACATATAGGCATTTTGATTGACAAAGAGTCACAGCATCAGAATCAGATTAAGTTGACTGCTGAAACTGTCCACTCTGGTTTAGGATCCTTGGGCTCTTTTCACATGAAATGCTGTGGGTTAAATAAAAGATTAAGACTTCAACAAATGTTTTCACAATATCTGCATGTTTAAAAACAACACAGAACAATTTGGACTCAAGTAACTATATCAAATCTTTGACTTACACTGTGAGAAGATACCAATACTTTTGGCAAGCACATAGGACAAAATTGGGAACCTTTCTAAAATTTATGTGTAGAACATAACAAATGCATTGCCAAAAAGCATCACTTGCAGTTTCTTATATCAGCTCCTCAACAATAGGCATACAAACAATATATGTGCCTAGAGGTAATGAGCAGGAACAAATACCACAACTTTCTAAACTACTACTTGGTCTTTCCAGCTGTCCATGTATTTTTTTTTTTTTTTACCAGCACCACTCATTTCTGACACAGACACAAATAACCATAAAATAAGCTTAATAAATGGCACAGCATGGATTGATTGCTCTTGTGCATATTTCACTACCAGTTCAGAATCAGATCAGATATTAAACTTTACTTCTATAATGATGCTGTTTAAGATCAAGTTATGGAAG